GAGAAGATTAACCAGAGACAGATTAACCAGAGAACAGGCAGATCTACTGAAATACACTGAGGGGAGCAGAGGGCGAGTCAGGAGAGGTCTGCTGAGCCATGTGGGTAGATACCAGGCCGGGGATAGATCTAGTGCTACAGATAGCTTCATAGGTTGGGTCTTAATCCCTTGGGCCACCAGGGAGGCCCTCTGGAGGTGAAATTTAGACTGAAGTTTCTTAGTCTAAGAGAGAGGTTTCTTCCTAGATTACCTGGTTTGAATAGCCTAATAGAATGGCCCGGGGCAGGCATTTCCAAGGACTCTGATTCCATCTAGAGGGGTCAAGTGGTCAGTGTCTCTGACACACTAACTAGGGAACCAGGCAAATTTTTCCTCTTTGTACCTCCAGATGTCCTCTGCCCTCTACGCTTCCCCCAATGTGCATTTATAGATCCCTAACAGGACTAGGAAGATTTTGTACATTTTTCAATGCAAGTTTTATTTAAGTTTGTAATATTTGTTTTATTATCAAAATCATACCTATTGCATTATAAAGAAGTTGTCCAATATGGCTAAAATAATTTTTTAAATTCAGAGTGAAATAAGACCAGATTCATAAACTTTTTATTCATTAAGACTAAAGAAGCAACCACTATTAACAATTCCATGATATCCGTTCAAATTTTTTTTTACACATATGAGGGTTGTGTGACAGTGAATATGTTTTTTAATTTTAATAAGTTTTCATTTATTCATTCATTCAACACTATGTTGAGTATATAAACCTAAAGGCAAAAGTCACTGCAATCATCATCATCCTTGTCTAGGAAAGGGGGTTTTAAGTTTCTTTAGAAACTTTTCTCTTTTGGGGCCTCCCCGGTGGCGCAGAGGTTGAGCACTGGTTTGTGAAGCTGCCCACACCTCTGAGGTGCCGGTTCGACCCCCAGCCACCGGAGGAGGGTCCCGCATGACGCGCAGACCCCCCCTGCCGCCCGCTGCCCCCCTCAGCAGTGTACCTCCGTCCCCCTGCCTGCTCCGCTCCCTGCTCCGGTGAACTCCCTCACCCTCCCACACCCCCGGCTATACCCAGTGCCTGCATAAATAAATTAATTAAAAAAATTTTTTACTTTTTTTCGATCTCAACAGAATTCCAATAAATGTATAGTATACAATTCAGATAAGTGTTGTTTTGGTAGTGGAACCTAATTTCAAATTGACAATATAATTTGAAATACTAATTTTTTCTCTCTATCCCCTTATCATCCCGTACCCCTCATATAGTAGAAATAAAGATGATTACGCTTTTATACCACTGGCCTCTGTGGCTATTATCTGAGGCCTTGATTGTGCTAATGCAAGAGGTTCTTGGGAACATAGGCACAGGGTACACATGCCTGATGGTGGATACCTTGGTGTGGGCCCACGTAAGTGTGCACAACTGATCCTGGAGGCTGAGGGTATAAAAACAGCTATGGCAGCTAAACGGCTACCAGAGGATGTGTGACAACTGTGAGAGGAAAAGACCACGAGACAACTCCAAAGAGAGCCCAAACAGGGAGTAAAGATTTGCCATAGGCTGTGGGCTTGCCCCACAATTGGCATAGAAATGTTACGGAGCAACCCCGATATAAAACGGGTTGCCTGGCTGTGGGTCAAAACTTTCCGAGTCAAAGCAACCTCAAGTCCAGCATCTCTTTGAATCGCGGAGGTGTCATGCCAGCAAGCACAGGGCAGGTTCTCTATCAGTTTGTGCAGACTTCGGTGGATTCTTCAGCTTTAAAGCTCTTTCTGTTAGGGGGAAAAGGATGTCCTAAAGCTAATTCCATACAGGCTTTGTGGACTCCACCCCCCACTCCAGACCAAAGCCTGGCTTTGGTTGCCTGGCTGCGCGCTTAAAAGGGACTTATTAATACTCCTCTACAGGCACACACAAAAGGTTAATAAAAGGTTTATTTACAAGGGAAAGGGAATTAAGGAAATGTACAACTCAGGGAGAAAATAGGGAAATAAAGTCTTTAATGCGTCCTACCCGATCCACCCACCTAGAAACCCAAAGGCACTCTCAGAGCTGGCCAGACCCAAAATGGGGGATCCCCTCCAAAGCCCACGTGTCCAGTTTTACCAAACCTGGCTGCTTAACCCCACCCTCAGGTTCCAGCCACCTTCCCTTTGGTGGTGATGGGATTTGGAGTTTCCAGTGTCTTTTGGCTTTGGTCTGGAGTGGGGGGTGGAGTCCACAAAGCCTGTATGGAATTAGCTTTAGGACATCCTTTTCCCCCTAACAGAAAGAGCTTTAAAGCTGAAGAATCCACCGAAGTCTGCACAAACTGATAGAGAACCTGCCCTGTGCTTGCTGGCATGACACCTCCGCGATTCAAAGAGATGCTGGACTTGAGGTTGCTTTGACTCGGAAAGTTTTGACTCACAAAGTTTTGCAGCATGGCCAGTAGAAGTTATTCTAAGGCTCTTCCATCCGCCGTAGGGGTTCACAGGAAATATTAAAGGGAGAGTAATCCTCTAGGAGCCTGTGGGCTTCTTAGAAATATGGATTCATGACCATCACCTGGCCCCTGGAATCAAACTCTAAGAGTGAGTCCTGGGAAACACTTAACAAGTTCTTTAAGTGATGCATATGCACATAGGGTGTGAGAACAGGGTCAGAGGGAGGATTCCAGAGGCATGGGTGAAGGGCATAACTCTGGGGAGGAAAAAAAGAAGAGATGGAGTTAGTCCCCAAGACATGTGTCTAAGGTCACACTGAAGGAAATGTGATCTCAGACAGAGTGACCCTGGGGTCCCCCACCCACCACTAGGATAGACTGCACATCATCTAGTGGACTTTGTATAAACTGGGGATGCACAGGTCCCACTGTTATAGTGTTATACCAGAAATCTGTTTTAATTGGTCCAGATTGGGACCTAGAGCTTCAATTACCATTTAAGGCAGTGGCTCCACCCTGGCACATATTGGCCACACCTGTGATCCTCTTAAAAGCTAAGCCTGATGCTACCAGACCAATTATATGAATCTCTAAGGGAAGAGGACCCTTAGAGATTGTTTGTGTTTTGTTTTTAATTACTGACTTTTCAGTTGAGAGCCACAGATTTAACAACTATAACATAACTTGACAACTTCCCCATTTTTGTTATTTTAAAAAACTCTTTATCTGGTTCCCAGTAATAATTAAATGAAAAGGAATTAGAGGATCAATCTTATTAAAAGGCAATAAAAGGGCCTCCCTGGTAGCCTAGGGGTTAAGGCTCAGTGCCATCACCTGTATGGCCTGAGTTCCATTCCCCACAAAGGAGCTACACCACATGGCACAGTACACCTCTTCAGTGTATTTCAGTAGATCCTCCTGTTCTGCTCCCCATTCTGTCTCTGGTGAATTTTTTCACTCCCGCACCTCTGGCCTACACCCCAGTTTTTCTATGCAAAAAAAAAAAAAAAAAACCCTAAATAAAAAGGCGTACCTAAATAAAACCATTCTGAATTTATTTACTGGTCAGATTGCCAAGAGTCCGAAATTTGGCCAACACACTACATTAGAGGGTACTTTCAGACATTGCTAGGTAGAGTAAGGAATTCTTATCAGGCAAATTACCTCACTAAGTGCTAACCAGGAGACTCCTGAAGGATTGGTTTAAAATTTCACTCCTGGAAGGGGTTGAAACTCGTCCATCTGCCTGCTCTGCTCCCCGCTCTGGCTCTGGTGAATTCTCTCACCCTCCCGCGCTTCTGACTGTACCCAGTGCTTGTATAAATAAATAAATAAATAAATAAATCTTTAAAAAAAAAAAAGAAACTGCAATTACTTTAGGTGTTAGGTAGCAAGTATCTGTTTGATCATGTGAAACAGCATAAGGGACTCCATTTTGGGTCTTCCGTCTTTTTTTTTTAAAGATTTATTTATTTATGCATACAAGAACGCCTGCATACAGGCCAGAGATGTGGGGGGTGAGAGGATCCACCAGAGACAGAGTGGGCAGCAGAAAGGCAGATTGACTGAAATACACTGCTGAGGGAAGCAGCTGGCGAGTCAGGAGAGCGCTGCTGCAGCGCCATGTGGGTTTTTCCCTGGCCGGGGATTGAACTCATGCTGCGGTGGCTGCGGTTAGCTTCATAGGCACCACCATGGAGGCTCTCTTCTGTCTTCTTTATAACACTACAAGTATAGATCCATGTACAGAGAAGTGAGTTGTGTCTATCAGAAAGTAATGGTCTAAACATCTTTTTCCGTAGCAGTAGTCTGATATGAAATCTATCACCCAAAATTTATTTCCAGATAAAAATCCTATTCTTTTTATTTACTGCTGTAATATTTAAGCCCTTACCCATAGAGTTTGGTGCATTTATTTAAAAACTAATGCTTATAAGGTATCATAGTTTAAAAAAAGTTGTGAATATAATATTTAAGAAAAGCCGTAAGGCATCATTAGCATTGAAAACTTACTAACAACGTATGTGGGAGATACGTGGATAGCTTTGGATTTTTTTAACTGTACACTTAAAGCTTTTTAAGGAAGCAAGGCCTTTGCCATGTGCCGTGCACAGTAAATTTCATAAACATCCGTTCAGCGATTTTGCACAATCGCGCTCCCACGCCTGTCAGAGGCTGGACAAATTTCCCTTTACTCCGGCAGTCACTTTCCCAGGCTCGGGGGCGCTAGAGCTCCTGTTGCACAAGTCCAGTCTCTGACCACCCTGGCCGGGTGGGGCGCAAGACTTCACGCGCCGCTGCCCGTGCCCGCGCGGGCGGCTCAGGGTCTGCACTGGCGGGCGCTCGAGGTGTCCACCCCGCAGGGGCAGTGGCGAGGCCCCGGGGGCGGGGCCACGTAAAAGCCCCGCCCACAGCCCCGCCCAGACCCCGCCCCCGGGCTCCGCCAGGTGCGCGCGTGCCAGTGCCCCGCCCCCCGCCCCGCTTCGCCCACACTTCCCGGCGCCGCCGTGTGAGCCGGAGTCTCCGCGCCTCTCGGGGCCTCGCGCCGGAACCCTCCGGCCCCCGGGAGCCGCCCGCGCCCGCCCCAGCCCGCTCCTCGTCGGCCCGGCGGCGCGGCCATGGCCGGGTGGCGGCGGCGGCGACCCGAGGCCCACGTCGGGGCCCGCGGCGCGCTGGCGCTGCTGGCGCTGGCCCTGTGCGCCCCCGGGGCGCGCGGCCGGGCGCTCGAGTGGTTCTCCGCCGTGGTGCGCACCGAGTACGTGGACCGGCAGGCCAACCGCACCATGGCCGACGTCTCGGAGAGCGGCCGATTCGGCGACAGCTCGCCCAAGGAGGGCGCGCAGGGCCTCGTGGGCGTCCCGCTCGGGGCCGACCTGGAGGGCTGCGCGCCAGACACTCGCTTCCTCGTGCCCGCGCCCGGCGCCGGGGCCGCGCCCTGGGTCGCCCTCGTTGCGCGCGGGGGCTGCACCTTCAAGGAGAAGGTGTTGGTGGCGGCGCGGAGGAACGCCTCGGCCGTCGTGCTCTACAACGAGGAGCGCCACGGGAACCTCACCGGACCCATGTCCCACGCGGGTGAGCCGGGTGCGGGGCGCGGCGGGGGGAGGGGCGGCCGCTGCACCGCAGTCATGGCCGACGGCCTGTTGGGCCTCCTGCTGGATCCCCAGGGCCAGCCCTGGCCTCTGCTGTTAGAATCTGTTAGGGAGACACCAGATTGGCTTGGTGTGACCTCCTAGGTGCTGTTGGCAGGGAGGCAAGCCTGCCGACGAGATTAGATCTTTGCCATTCAGGTGAAGGAGCTGGCCCCTGCAGGACGAAAGAAAGAAACATTCATGGGAGGAAGGTTGTGGTGCTAGCCGGTAGAAAGTCTCTGGATTCTTAACCACGGATCTCTTTCCAGTCAGCCTTTCCAGAGTCAGTTGTGGGTAGGAATTGAAGCTTTCTCCTAGCACGCCCCACGGCTAGCTCTTCACCACTGTGAAGTGGTAGAGTTTAGTGGCACTCAGGTTTCTTCTCATAAAACATGCCGGAATATTCTAATGCCTTTGAGAAAATCGGGGTTTAATTCTGAGTCAGAAAGTCTGGATTTAAGTCCATGTGTGTTTTCTCACTTGTTAAAAATGAGACTGTGCAATAATACTGGCTCTACTGCCAATGAGAGTCATTATCTTGGGTTTAAATGGCATTTTGCAAGTGTTGCCTAGGTGATCTTTCCTACACATAGGTATTCCCCAGAGCAACAGGTTGCATCTTCTAGCAGTAATGATAGTTTTTAAAAGTCCTATTTTGTTTTGCAAATAACCTCAGAATTGAATCCTGAGTACCATACTACTGATACACTGCAGAGTGACCGTATTTCTGTTATGCCTTCTTACATCTCTGCTCGTTAAATTCACTGTGATTAAAATCTCTTTAGAGGGCCTCCCCTGGTGGCGCAGTGGTTGAGCGCTGGGCCACTGGTGAGGGTCCCACATGGCGCGACAGGCCTCTCTTGCTGCGCCCACTGCTCCCCTCAGCAGTGTATTTCGTCACTCTGCCTGTTCTGTTCCCCTCTTTGGCTCTGGTGAACTCTCGCCCTCCTGCGCTTCTGACTGTACTCAGTGATTGTATAAATAAATAGATCTTTTTTTAAAAAAAATAAATAAAATCTCTTTATAAAGTTTCTGCTGCTAGTCAGAGGTCCTTTTTCCTGTACCTTTGGTTTTTTTGTTTTGATTTCCCTAATGCAAGTTCAGAACCCAACAGTCAAATAAGGGCAGAAAAGTGACTTTGCATTTAATTACTTTTAGAAAGGAACAGAAATCAGTTGAGAGATGAGGAAATGGAGACTGTTAGAGTAACTCTTTGAGGAAGGGTGATTGAGGGTTCAGGTTGCTGAGAAATGGGCAGAAACTGTTGGGCAAGAAAGGGTACTATGGACAATGGAAAGGCATATTTGAAATTGGATGGGAGTGATCTGATGGATCCAGGATAGAGGTCGCTGAATGAGTAAGATTTTTCAAAAGCCTGGAAGGCTTGCTCCAAAATGCTTGTGGAGGGGTTGGCCTCAGATAGTAGAGTTGCAGTTGAAAGGAAGTGGGGGTGAGGAGTTGGGGATGAAATGGGAGCAGAGATGTCCATGTGTTGACATTGTGCTAGGCACCACCTTTGATGCAATTACTCCAGTGCTACCAAATCTAATGATCATTGTACCTAAGCCATGTTTACACACAACTGTTATAAAAAGTCCTGTTAGTGTTCATGTAACTATTCCAGATTATCGTATCCACGTTGTTTGCCAAGTTTAGTGGTTCTGTCAAAAGAGCTTGGTGTATCAGGATACTCTGCATATTTGCAGTCATTTTCCAGTGTGTGCAAATCTTTTTTTTTTTTTTAAGGTTTTATTTATTTATTTATTTATTTATTTATGCCATCACTGGTTACAGTCAGAGGCGCGGGAGGGTAAGAGAATTCACCAGAGCCAGAGCAGGGAATAGAACAGGCAGACTGACAAAATACACTGCTGAGTGGAGCAGTGGGCGAGGCAGGAGAGGTCTGTCCCACCATGTGGGACCCTCGCTGGTGGCCTGGGATCGAACCGGCACTGCAGAGGCTGTGGTCAGCTTGGCAGCCCAGCGCTCAACCGCTGCGCCACCAGGGGAGGCCCTTGTGTGCAAATCTTAATGTAGACTTTTTCTTTTATTTTTCAATGGCAGGCTCATTTGCTTACAATTTTCTTAATCTGCTTACTGCATTTTTTATTAATGATATTAACATCTTTCCAGGAAAATAGCACTATTCTTTTTTTAAAAAATATTTATTTTTGCCTAGAAGATATGGGGTACAGGCCAGAGATGGGGTGGGTGAGAAGATCACCAGAGACAGTGGGGAACAGAACTGGCAGATTGACCGAAGTACACTGATGAGGGGAGCAGCAGGCGAGTCAGGAGAGGTCTACTGGGACATGTGGGTTGCTCCCCGGCTAGCTGGGGATCGACTTGTGCTGCAGAGGCTGAGAATTGCTTCAGAGTGTGGCGCCTAACCCCTAGCGCCATCAGGGAGACCCGAAAATAGCACTGTTCTAACCATGGTACAGCAACCTTGCTTGTTTATTGACCTAATTTATCCAGGCCCAGAAAAAAACATGTCATTGATGTTTTCTTTTAAATTCTCTTTTGGTGAACGTCTCTTCCTATTATCAATGTCCATTTTAACCTGTTTGCCATGAAAATATTTCTGTTTGAGAGAAAAGATAGAAGCAACAGAGTTAGCAATTTTTTAAAAATGTGTGAAAGTATCCGGTGCATAGGTGTTGTGCTCAGTATTTTTCATACAGTGGCTCACTTAATCTTTCTGACAACCTTTTAAGTAGCTCCCTTAACTCTTTTATAAGTGAGAAAACTGATACTCAAGGAACTTAAATGACTTTGTCTGAGATAACCAGGTGACCTCTGGTTAGGTTATTCTTTATTATGAGAGGTGTTGTTATGTGTATTATATATTTAGCAGTATCCCAGGCCTCTCTAACCACTAAATTCCAGAAGTATACCACCAGTTGTGACAACCAAAAATGCCTCCAGATGTTACCAAATGCCCAGGAGTTAGAGGAGATGACAAAATCATCTGAGATTAATTTGGTAGCAACTGACTAACAGATTAAACAGAAACAGCTGGAAACAAAGACTCCAGTTTAGACTGCTGCACTGGTCTGAGGGAGATTATAGTGGTGACTATAGGAATGGAAAGGACTGACCCTCAGAATTTGACCCAGTTGAGTACAAGGGGACAAGTTGTATTGTGACTTTTTTTTTTAAGATTTGTTTTTATTTATTTATACAAGCACTGGGTACAGTCAGAAGCGCAGGAGGGTGAGAGAATTCCCCAGAGCCAGAGCGGGGAGCAGAACAGGCAGAAGGACCAAAGTACACTGCTGAGGGGAGCAGCGGGCGGCAGGAGAGGTCTGCGTGCCATGTGGGACCCTCCTCCGGTGGCCGGGGAGCAGCCGGGGATCAAACCGGCGCTTTAGAGGCTGCGGGCAGCTTCGCAACCCAGCGCTCAACCGCTGTGCCACCGGGGAGGCCCTGTATTGTGACTTTTGAGAATGGAATAGAATTAAGAAATCAGAAAAGGAACCAGCTTTGGCTTATCTGAATTTGAAATGCTAAGCAGAATCTTAAAGTCAGCTCAGAATTGCGGTTCTTGTATTTTGTCAGAATGTGTCCAGAGCAGGTAAAAACTGCTGATTAGGTGATTCTCGTGTTTCTGGGTAACACCAGTCAGTGTTCTACAAAATTGACGGAGGTGGGGGCCTCCCTGGTGGCACAGGGGTTAAAGAGCACTATCAAGCTATCACCAGCCACTGCCTGTCCTGCCAGGGAGCTGACTCCCATGGTGCAGCAGACCTGACCTGTCTCCCCCGGATGTATTTCAGTAGATCTGCCTGTTCTGCTCCCCACTCTGGCTCTGGTGACTCCCTCCCCTCCCCGCTACTTTTGGCCTATACCCCAGTTCTTGTATGCATACATAAATAAATCTTTAAAAAAAAATGGACAGACGTGGCTGTTTGTAGAATTGAATCATCGTAGTCTTTTCCCAAGTCTCAGGGTATATTTCTCTAGTTTTTCTTAAATATGTTACTAGATTCTTTTTTTTTTTTTTAAAGATTTATTTATTTATTTATACAAGCACTGGGTACAGTCAGAAGCGCGGGAGGGTGAGAGAATTCACCAGAGCCAGAGCGGGGAGCAGAGCAGGGAGAAGGACCAAAGTACACTGCTGAGGGGAGCAGCGGGCGGCAGGAGAGGTCTGCACGCCATGTGGGACTCTCCTCCGGTGGCCGGGGAGCAGCCGGGGATCGAACCGGCGCTGCAGAGGCTGCGGGCAGCTTCGCAAGCCAGCGCTCAACCGCTGCGCCACCGGGGAGGCCCTGTTACTAGATTCTTATAGAATCCAGTATAAGCTATTTTGGGTTTAAATCAGTATTTTATTGTGGTTCTAAAATAATTAATGACTTTTTAAAAAGATTTATTTATGTATGCATACAAGCACTGGGGTAGAGGTCAGAGGGGAGGGGGGTGGTGGTGGTGAGAGGATTCACCAGAGACAGAGTGAGGAGCAGAACAGATGGATCTACTGAAATACACTGCTGGGGGAACAGTGGCGGGCGAGGCAAGAGAGGTCTGCACCAGGGAGGCCCAATAATTGATGACTTTAATATTGTATCAAAACAACTGTCAGGGTTACACTGATTCTCAAAGTTAATTCCCATCACTCTAGCAGTCAGATATGATGATTAGATGTACTTTGACCAAGAGAGGTAAAAACTGATTGTCAAATGGTTAAAAGGAAATCTTTTAGAGTATTTCCCTTAATGTAGTTATTGTTGGTTAATAAATAAGAATGAAACTTCAGCCAAAATCTCAGCATGAAATTTTTGATATGGCATTTATATTCTGTCAATAGTGGTTTAATGTGCTTCAGGCCACTTTTCAGGAAAGGGCCAGCCTTGGGTGAGGGAGATTACAAAGATGTATAAGAGTCCCTGACTTTAAGAGCGATGTACATTTTGTACTTGGTAATAGTCTTTCATGAATAAC